GTATGGTTAAGGTGATTTTAATTGTCCAGTTTTAAAATATTTCTTTCTCTCTCTAAGACTTCACTATTTAGCAGAGGGTCAAGATGACCTTCCATGTTCACTCATTCTCTTACTAAAAGATGACAAAGCACAAACAAGAGTCATTGGCCACACTAGACTCAACAAGGTTCTGGGAAAACCAAAGGCATCATTTTTGACTTGTGGTAAGATAAAGTTTTAAAAAATTATATCCTTGATTTTCTTATGCAGTGAGAGCCCAATCGATAAAGAGGATCTTTCTATTCGGAAGGGATATGTCTATATTATCTTGATTTATCAGTGCTTATAGAAAAGGCCCACCGAGGATGTGGACTTGGCAAAAAGCTCATGCAGCTTACAGAAACCTATGCATCTCAGTAAGTTAACAAGTTTTTTTTTTATGAATATCACTAGTTACTCTAAATTTATGTACAATAAAAAATTGATTCTTTATTTGTACTTGCATGAATTCATACTTGCTCAAAGCAAAAAAGTTACAAAATTGAAAGAAATTATTAGAAATAAAATTGGAGTACTAGCAGCCTGGAATAACCATAGGGGCCAGCGGAGCCAGGCCCCTATTATGGTTATCGTAATCTCCCTATTCTCCTCTTCTGGTTTTTATGTGTGAATGGGGTAGTCTAATTATCTTTGTTTCTCCTGGAAAACCAGAATTCATTGACTTTGGAAGAAGCCAGTTTAACACCTTGTATTATTACCTTGATGGAAATGTCAGCAAAGGTTTAGATACATGCAAGTTAAGTTCTTGCATTGATTAGTAAAAATTTCTGTCATGTGAAGTTGAAATGGACTTTTTGTTAGAAATTTTGAAATGATAATTACATGATTGTGGTTGCAAATGATAGTGAGTTGGTTGCATGTGATTTAGTCAGAGAATGTATGTTTCCTTCTTCACATTCTTTGTTAGACTTCTATATCTCCACTCCAATTTCAGGCTAGGATTGACAACAATTTACCTCTCAACATTTGACAAGTACGAGTTTTATAAACATCTTGGCTACCATGATTGTACTCAAGTTACTCCAATTAAAGCAAGTTCAACCCTGTTTACGAACTCCCAGGTAATGGACTATGAACTAAATTGGGAAGAATTAGAATTTAAGGTTTTCTGGATATGATAATAGGGACTTTAAGCAAACCACGACGGCTACGGCAACGAGAACATGGAAAAACAATAGATCTAATTGGCAGAACAATAGCCCAGCACGTGCATTTTAAAACTTTGTACATTTCTTAGCCGTCCTTTGCAAAACAACAACGTGAAATCACCAAAATTTGCGTCGTCTGCGA